TACAATGACAGCACTGCCCTCTACCCAGGGCAACAGAGTGAGACTCTGTCTCAAAAAAAAAGAAAAAAAATTGTTTTAAGTTAACTTTTGCTTCATGAAAGACCCTGCCAAGAGGATAGGCTGCAAAGTGTGAGAAAATATTAGTAAAGCACATATCCGGCAGATGGCTGGTCTCCAGAATGAATACACAGAGCTCTCCACACTCAACAGCGAGTGAACCAACCATCCACTTAGGACACGAGCAAAAGTCACGGACATTTCCCCCGAGAGGATGTGCAGACGGCAAATAGAACTACGGCACGACATGGTCGCCGTGTTCGTGGGCTTTTGTCCCAGAGTAAGGACGCCTTACAGCCACACGCAGATCTGTGCAGGGATGTTTATAGCAGCTTTATTTGTGATGGCCCCAAACCGGGACAACCCAAATGCCCTTCAGTGGCTAAATGGTTAAACAAACTGCGGTGCGTTCATACCACGCAGTGAAAAGGAATGAACTGCTGACACCTGCAACTATATTTGTGAATTCTCAGAGAATTATGTCGGGCTAAAAAAATAAAAAATGCTAATCTCTAAAGGTGACATATGGAATTATTCCATGTATAAGACATTCTTAAAATGGCAAAATTGCCCAAATGCAGAACAGATTGGCGGGCGTAGACGATCGTAGGGTTGAGGAGTGCTCGCGTGGGTGGGGAAAGTGGTTAGTGAAGGGCGGCGGGAGGGATTCTTGGAGATGGAGGTGTCTGTCTGGACTGTGTGACTGTCAACGTCCCGGTCGTGGTCGGGTGCTACAGTTGGGGGAGATGTCGGTGGTGGGGCTCAGGACACAGCACCCCGGGACCAGCACCTTGGCGTGCTGAGTACTTTCGGCCGAAGGAAATTGAGAGGGTCACTCCCGGACCTTCTCCCACCTGTCTCCCCCGGAGGAAGCCGTGAGAGAGTCCTCTGGTCCTACCTCCCAAAAAGTAGCTCCTAAGACCTTCGTTCCGTAAGGGCCCTGCCCTGCACCCAGAGGCCACGAAGAACCTGCGCAGACAGGCCTGGCCAAGTTACCAGGGAAGACTTAGCTTCCGGTCCAACAGTCCTTCTACGCGCCACACCCGCCACAGAGGCGGCAGACCCCTCACTTTGGGCCTTCCTGTCTCAGGTTTCCCTTGTCCTGTCAACTTCTATTCGCTGGATGCCTTATGCTCGTCTCTTGTCAATCTGCCTTTGTTTTCGGGGTGTCCGCCACGAACCCTGCAGGGGGCAAGGAAACGATACTGCTTCTCGCCCACACCAGGGTTTCGGGAAAATGAACGTGCCGTGCGTGGGCCGCTAGTGCGGGGCCGCGTGGCGCTGAGTTGACTCTGGCGACACAGCAAGGCAGGGGGGAGTAAAATCGGTGTTTGGGGCAGGGCGGGGGTGAGGGCGGTCAGTGCAGTTCTGAAGCGTTTGGTTCATGATTCACCGCGTCCTGGGTTCGGTTAAGACTCGGGGGCGGTGTCCGCGAGTCAGACACCGGCTGGATCCACCAGCGTGGAGCAGTCACTGGGTCCCCGAAACGGGCTGAGAACTGAGAGGGCAGAGGCTGCCGCCTGCAGCCTCCACCGGAGCCCCCAGGAACGCAGCGGGGGTCGGCAAGTAGGGCTTACTTCTGGTGACAGCAAAGAAAAACTCACCCCTCAACACACACACACACCCCGGGAACCCTGGGGTGGCTCAGTCACCAGCTTCGGGACTCGGGCTCTGTTTGGGTGGCTTGAAGGAGCGTTAGGGGACGGGGACTCGCTCCGGGTTGGATGTGGTCGGAGCGTGGGAACGATTCCATGCTGCGGTGTCCGTGACAGTGACTCACTGTAGCCAAGAAGAGGACGTGTTTGGCCTGGCTGCCATCTGTGCTTAGATGCAGGTTTGCCTCTCAGAGGGACCTCTCTGAGGCGGGTGTTCTGCAAATGGGCTTATGTCCAAGGGGAGAAGGGCCTTCCTGCCAGCTCCAGGTGTCCTGGGCGGCACTTCTGCCTGAGATCTGCTCTCTCACACCGAAGGAAACACAGGAGAAAGAACCTAAGTCGGCGTTTGTCAAAGCCGCAGTGCACCTGGCACAGCTCTTGGCACGGGGTGGGGCGGCAGGGGCCTGGTCCAGAGCGCAGGCCCTTTGTGACACTTTCGGAGGCGGGTTTTACTAGGGGGAGGCGGCAGCAATTCCAGACAAAGTCCTGGATGAAGACAGCGCTGCCCTGCGGCGCGTGTTGTCCGAGGACTTTTGCGGGAGCACTGCGTGTAGGAGACAGGTCCGGAACTGCGCGCGGGCCCCGGGGCGCAGGCGAGCGGCAAGGCTGGCGCGGCTCGCAGCAGAGGCCTCCGGGTCGGAATAAACGCGCGCAGGAGCCGGGGCGCGAGCCGCCCTGGACACGCCCGGAGGGGTCTACTCTTGAGCGCGCTTCCACGGGGCAGGCTGGCCAGGACAGGGAAGGGCCGCCCCCCTCGGGCGGGCGGGGGACAGGGCCCTCATCCCCCTCCCCCAGCGAATCAAACAAGGACGCGGAGACACCTGTCTGGCTTCGCGGTTTTATTGGCGTCCATCCGTGCCCTGCAGCGAGCCCGGCGGGGCGGCTCAGCGCACCTGGGCCGGGTTGTGCTTCTTGTACAGCAGCGCCCGCCTCTTCTCGCGCTCGCGCACGAAGGCGCGCAGCCGCGCGGTGGGGAAGGTCACGGGCGCGGGCCGCGAGCCGGCGGGGCCCTCCTCGGTCAGCCACGGGCACTGCAGGCAGCTGGACGCGCCGGGCCGGCCCCTGGGGCAGAGCGCGAGTCAGGGCCCCGGCGGGCGTGGCGGGGCGGGGCACAGGTGCGGGAGGGGCGGGGCGGGGCGGGGCAGGGGACAGGTGCGGGAGGGGCGGGCGCCTCACCAGGGCTGGGCGCACAGCGTGCTGCGCAGGAAGGCCACGGCGCCCCCGGACAGCCCCGCGTAGCAGCGGCTCAGCCGGACCAGCCCCTTGCGCAGGCCTTTCTGCAGGTCGCGCGTCCCCTCGCTGCTCACCGGGTACTCGGCGCTCAGCCTGCACGGGTGGGGGCGCAGGGCTCTGAGGTTACCCTCGGATGGGTGGGGTGTGGGGACTCTGAGGTCAGCTGGATGGATGTGGGGGCCTCCCTACCCCCAGCTAGCCTCCCCCCTAGACACGAGGAGGACTCACATGATGAAGGCTGTCACACCAATGGCCCAGATGTCTGTCTGCGGAACAGCCCCCTGGCCCTCCAGGAGCTCTGGAGCTGGGGAGGGGCAGAGATGGAGGACACAGGTGTGTGGGCACAGGTGCGAGGCCGGGTGGGTTGCAGTGGAGCTGGGAGGGGAGGGCAGGACCAGTGGGGAGGGGCTTCCTCTCGCCTCCACAGGTGAAGACCCCCCCCACACACACACCCATGGTCTCCAGGTAGTCCTTGAACCTCTCCGAGGGCAGCACCTTCTCCTGGGTAAGGCTCTGGGCGCTGCCCAGGTCCACGACCTTGAGCAGGTTGTACTCGGTGACGATCATGTTCTCGGACCGCAGGTCCAGGTGCAGGATGCGCTGCGCGTGCAGGTACTGGGCGGCGCTCAGCACCTGCCACAGGTAGTCCTTCACCTCGGACTCCGCGTAGGAGGCCCTGGGGGCAGACATGGCTCAGCTGCGCCCAGGCACGGCCGACACAGAGTGAGGACGGCGACCAGCACCCCGTGGGCGGCAGGGAGCGCCCCTCACCTCTCGGCCAGGCAGGGGAGCAGCTCGGGCCCCGAGCACAGCTCCAGGATGAGCACCAGGTGCCGGGGGCTGAGGAAGGCCGCGTGCAGCTGGGCCAGGTGCGGGTGGCGCAGGCCCTTGAGGGCCTCGTATTCGCCCAGCACGGCCGTCTTGTCCTCAGCCCGGTAGGGGATGATCTTGGCGGCCAGCGCCCGCCCGCTGGCCTTCTCCCGGCACTGGCGGACCACGCTGAAGCGGCCCCTGGGTGAGGGGGCGCTGGTCAGTCTGGTCGGTGGCTCCCTCCATCTCCCAAGGTGGGGGCAGGGTCCAAGCACCGGCCCCACCCGCCCACCAGCCCCAGAGGCCCTGGCACCTCCGGATCTGTGTCTGGAAGGCGAAGGTCTGCGTGCTGGGGAGAGGCTGGGCTGGCCACCCCCCGCCACTCTCCTCTTCAGAGGCTGTGGGATGAGAAGCAGGTGATGGGGAGCAGAGGGCACGTCCCCACAGCCTGGGCTCGCCCCACCACCCCCGTCACCCTTTTCCAGGCTGCCAGACCAGAGAGCCTGCTTTGAGCTCCCTTAGGCTCCGACCTCTCCTTCCTCCAGCCCCAGGGGAGTGGGGGAAAAGGGGGCACAGCAGGTGGAACAAGCTGTCATGAGCGGGGCAGAGATACTTGGGGACAGACCACCGATAGCAATCGCACCACATCACCCCTGCCTGAGCCCAAAGCAGACATTACCAATCAACCCTAGCACTCTCCCACGAAGTCCCAGGGAGTCACCACCAACACTCAGCATGCAACTGGATGGACTTGTGTGTCCCCCAGCAGGTGCATAGGGGTGTGGGTGAGTTAAGGGGGCTGAGAGGGACCCCCAAGTGTGCAGGTCTCAAATGTTGAGCCCGGGAGCAGCCGTCTCTCTCCCAAAAGGCAGTGGACAGCTGACACTGTGGCCAGGAGGGTGCCCGTGCTGGGTGCCCCATCCACCCACTGCCAGCCCCGCGAACGCTCACCCAGGTGGCTGGGCCCTCCCAGGAGGACCTGGTCCGAGGGGCTGCTGTAGGGGCCCATTCCTGCCTTGCTGACGCACGCAGTGCGGAAGGTGTATGTGCCGCCCCGGGAGAGCTTGCCGGTGAGGTAGCAGCAGTCGAAGATGTCAGATGCCAGTGTGGTCCAGCTGCCACCTGGGCCACATGGGAGCATGTGAGGGGCAGCCGAGGCCTCCCAGGGCCACATCAGGGAGCTGAGGAGGAGAGACCCTTCCCCGAGGCCACCCATGGGCACAGAACAGGCCGGGCACCTCCTCGACGGCCCCTCCACGTAGACCCTGGGAGGGGTGGCCAGAGCCTGGGGGGCAGGCTGCCCAGGAGGCCAGGATGCAGGGGCCACCCTGTACCTTCCAGGCTGCATTGCACGATGTAGGTCACAGGGCCATAGGACTCCACAGGCTTCCAGACCAGCAGAACCCCATCCGCATACACCTCCCCAATGTCTGGGCGCGGCGAAGATGAGGGGCGCTCTGCAAGGGGCCACCCTACGGTCAGCGGCTCCAGGGCCAGTCCCCGCTGGGCCCTGCCTCACCCTCAGCAGCTGCTGGGGCTCCCGGCCAACCCTCCCCTGGTCGTGTTCATTCGGGGTCCAGGGCCTGGCGCCTCTCCTGGCGGGGACTCAGGAGGAGCCTGCCCCGCTGGGCACCCTCCCCTCCCAGGCTGGCCACTGCGCTGGGGCACGCCCAGAACCCCGTGGAGCGTCCCCGGCTCTGCTCGGAGGGGCCGTGGCCTGCCTGCCCATCTGCCCCATGGGCTACGTAGGGGTCGGCCAGCGGCTCAGGCATCAGGTGGGAAGGAGGTCCCAGAGCCAGGCCCGCAGCCCCCGTCTTGACTGCCCCAGAGACACACCCCGGGTACTGCGTTTTGAGCTTTAGGCTCAACTTTGAACAAGATACATAACAGGAAACAGCCACCTCCTCCTCCGGCACGGGCTGGGGGATGGCGCAGAAGCCGCGTGCGAAGACGGCACAGGGGGAGCAGCGCGTGCAGAGCTTGGCTCTCCCCGGCAGACAGACAAACGGCCAGGCTCCGCCCTGGGGTGGAGCGGGGACGAGCAGGCTTTGTTCCGAGCCCTGGAATGTGGGCAGCCGTGTCTGCCCGGACAGGCGCAGAGCCTCCCGCCAGCCCAGGGGTCACCTTCTCGGACTCCTGCCGCCCTGCCTGCTGCGTGCGGTGCCCGGCCCCGTGGGGACCATGGCTGTCCGGGGGACGTGGACGCCCCAGCAGTCAGTGCACGGGCACCGATGCATGCCACGGGCCCCCTGGGTGGAGGCAGCGGCTTAGACCAGGTCATGGAGCAGGTGAGGTCTCCCGGCACCCCCGCAGTGCAGCCCCCAGCCCAGTGGGAACCTCCGGCGCGGCCCACCCACCTGCCTTCCGCAGGACGCCCGTGGTGGCCGCCGTGCCCAGCGAGTTGCTCACGCTGCACGTGTACATGCCCAGGTCCTCGGCCGTCACCACCAGGATGGTCAGAAGCTGGAAGTTCTTGAGGGTGGAGGAGATGAGGAGGCGGCTGCTGCTCTCCAGCGCGGCCCCATCTACAACAGGACAGAGCGGGCCTCAGTTTCCCTCCGGGCAGCGACAGCACCCTGGGGGTCCCACGGTGACCACTGCTCCCTCTAGGCCCCCAGCCCCCAGGACAGCTTCTTACCTTTGCTCCAGGTGGCCTGGGCGGCTGGCTGGGCCGATACCTGGCAGGCCAGTGTCACTGACTGCCCCAGGACCACAGTCTCATCCGAGAGCTCCCTTAGGAACGACGGTGCTGAGGAGAGAGTGTGCAGTGAGCCATCGTGGTGACCTCCAGGCCCCAGGGCTTGGCCTGGACCCACAGTGGGGATGCTGGGAGGAGCCCCACCCACGTCTGCCTGGGCCATCTTCTAAACCACCGCCTCCTCCAGGAAGCCCCCCAAGACTGCTCAGCCTGTCATACGCACTAGAGCCCCTCACCTGGGCTCGAGCCCCTGGAGTGCAAGCTTGTCCCCCACCCATCTGGGCACCATGGTGGGTGGAGGCAGAACCCTGGGGGGCTGGGCACCTCTCTGGTGGCCACTCACCTCGGTCCCTGCTCTTCAGACCCAAGAGCCCGAAGGAAGTGAGGCCTGGCTTCTTCCTGGGGGGCCCCTCTTTTTCCAGACCTGCAGGAGGAAGTGGCCCCAGGGAGGTCACAGCTGGGAGGCCTGGCCGCTCTGGGCGGCACCAGCCGCCTCCCACTGCGAGGACCCCAAACAGCCACCCCCTGCCCACTTCCTGGACTTGCGAGCCACAAGGGAAGGGCCGGGACCCCTGGGGGTGTCAAGGAAGCTGGAAAAAAAGACACTGCGCAGGGCACCCCGTTCCTGTCCCCTGGTCCCGGCCGCGCAGGGTCTGGTGTCGGTTTAGGGTCAGGGAAGGTTTAGGGTCAGACAGGGTCTGGGGTCAGGGAGGACTTAGGTTCAGGGAGGACTGAGGATTGGGAGGACCTGGCTCTGTCAGCTTCTGGCCCCAGGGCGCACCCCCACAGCGGGCTCCGTGCCCCGGCAGGTGCGCTGGGTCCTGCGGCGGGGTTCCCAGGGGCCCTGCGGGAAGGGGCATCAGGGCTGCAGAGATGACCCCGGGACTTGCCCTGTGGCCTGTGACGGGGCCCAGGAAGGGGGGCTTTCTGCTGTCACCCAGGGGTGTGGGGTCACCTTCAGGCTTGCCCTTCAGGATCCGCGAGATGTGGGCCACGGAGGCCTTCACCCTCTGCCGCAGCCCGAGCTCCGCGGGCTCCTCCAGCGGCAGGTACTTCCCCGGGAAGTGGAAGAGACTGCGGGTCGGGGAGGACCACTTGCGTTTCCTGCCCACAGCAGCCTGGGCCTCCATGTCCTCCGGCTCCTCTATAATCTGCAGGCCCGTGGGGGGGCCCAGCTTGCCCGGCCAAGGCCACGCGGCCTCCGGGAACTCCGCCAGCCCCTCCCCGGCCTCCGCCTCAGGTGAGGGCGGCTCCTGCTGCGTGGGCTTGGGGACCCTCCTGAAGATCATGAACTCGAACGGAAGGTACTTGATGTCGTACAGGTCCGAGAGGTTGAGGTAGGCGGGGTCCACCTCGGAAATGTCCAGAGATACGGTGTCGGCCGCCTCCGCGTCGCCTGACAGGTCCCGGATCTGCACCAGGGACACCTCTCCGCTGTCCTCCCATGCGGCCAGCTCCGGAGAGGCCCGGGAGTGGGCCCCGCCGGCCTCGGGCACGGGCTCGGCGCCGGCCTCGGGCAGCGGGCTCTCAGCCCCGGCGTCGTCCTGATCCTCCGAGGACTGGGACACGGCCCAGGCCAGCCTGGCCCACATGGGGCCCTGCCCCAGCATGCCACCCGCGTCCCCACCGAAGGCAAATGTGCCGTAGCCTGACACTCCTGCGTAGCCCCCGCGGCGCCCCAGGGAGAACTTGCGCGTGGTCGCCTGCTCCTGAGGCCGCTGCAGGGTGGGCGTCGGGGGCGTGGAGTCCGACAGATCCGCGGCCTCCTGCGCCAGGCCCTTGGCGTCCAGAGAGGGGCTGGGCTGTGTGTCCAGCTGTGAGTCCGGCCCTAGGGAACTGGAGGGGCTGGGCTTTGGCCATCCAGGAAGAGAGATGTCGTCCAGCCCTGTCTTAGAGTCTGGCAGGGCGCTTGCTGGGGATGGGGGCGCCAGGGCCTCTCCCAAGAAGGGGCTCGGGGGCGCCAGGGCCTCCTGGTAGCGGTCTGGAGGGAAGGAGCCCGGAGGCTGTGGGGCGACCGCCGGTGGGAAGCTGCAGCCCTCCTGGGGGGCAGAACTCCACTCGGGGTGACGGAGAGGGCTGTCCCGGGAGGCCCCCTCCTGCTGCGCAGAGCCTGATTCTCCACTAGTAGATGGAAATAGCCTAGGCCCCCGCGGGGACCCCTCAGGCTGCCCCGTTTCCCTGGCAGAGCCCCCACCAGCCACTCCCGTGGGGGCTGGGGGAGCACACTGGCCCTGGCGGCAGGGCCCTGTGGAGGGGCCGGCGGGGCGTGGTGGGTTGTGGTCCAGGGAGCGGCTGCAGCCAGGGCCTCCCTGGGCGCCAGAACCAGGCCGCTGAAGGGCGGTCTCGGAGGAGGGGGCCTCGGCCAGGGGGACTGCTCGCTCCTGCCCCGCAGCCGCCTCCTCCAGCGCGTGGTGCTCCAGCAGGGGCTCGCGCAGGCCGGGCAGCGCCCCGGCGATGTAGCCGCCCTTCAGCAGGTGCCGCCGCCGGGCCGGGTGCCGCCTGCCCCCCACGGCCGCAGCCCCGGGCCCCGGGCCCTCACCCCCCGCCTGCTGGTAGAACAGGCTGCGGATGACGCTGTGCCGGGGCACGCAGCCGGGGGTGCCCGGTGGCCCGGCACCCTGGGGCGATGCCGGAGGGGCTGTGGCCACGGTGGGCGCACCGGCCTCTGCCTCCTCGGGGAGGCTGGCCGAGGGCCGCAGGAAGCCCCGGGGGTGCAGCAGCGGCGAGTGGGTCACTGGGGAGGGCGGCAGTGACTTGGCCCGGGCGAATGGCGCGAGCTCGTTGTCGGAGGACGAGGAGCTGGAGGAGCTGCTGGCGTCCCCGCGGAGGTGCCGGGCCACTGCCAGGGAAGGGCTGTCGGGCGGGCCCCGCAGCAGCTCCGGGATGGAGCGCATCACCAGGATGGACTTGTAGCTCATCAGCGAGCGCTGCGGGCCAGCGGGGACGGAGGGTGCGTCAGGTGGGCGTGGTCGGCCAGGGCGGGGGGTGGGGGGGGATCTGGGTCCTCTGCACCCCGGGGCTCTGTCGCTCCACCCTGCTGCCCGGTGCGGCCGGGATGCATGCACCCCCCACGCCCCACCGGCGACACATTCCCTCCTCATCCCGTCTCCCTGCACTCCCAGCCCTGGGTCCGGCACACAGCCAGCCCTCTGGGGCCTCAGTTTCCCTTCAGTGGCCTCTCGTGCCCCCTCCTCGAGGAGGGCACAGCTCACCTGCCAGCGACTTCGGGCCAGGAGGAACTTGAGCTGCTTGGTGTTGATGAAGTGGGCCTCCTCCGCGGGCACGGAGGTCTGGGCGGGAGGGGGCAGCCACGTGAGGCAGAGACCCTGGCACCCTGGGGAGCCCCACCCATGATGGAGGCCCAGCTGGGCCAGCCCCCAGCCCTGAGATCTCGCTGGGTCCAGGAAGCCACAGCCCTCACCCCAGATGCCTGGGTGGAGGCGGTCAAAGGCCAGAGGTCAGAGGTGATGATGACTCCCTGCCTCCTCTGGAGGAGTGAGGGGGTAAGAGGGGCACTGAAACACTGTCCTGGCCTGGGGGTTCCAGGACCCCCTTGCCAATCTGCAGAGACAACTGTCCTCTGGGCTGGGGGATAACAGGCCAGATGCCATGGTCCAGGCAGGCCTCTGCCCCGCCTGGCCTCAGTTTCCCTCCCTGCACAGCGTGGGGCTGAGCCTGAGCAGGCCGACTCACCAGGAACCAGGCGTGGGCCAGGCACTGGGAGGCGCTGGGCCGGGCTCTGCGGGGGAGGGAGGCGGGTCAGGGCTCGGCTGGCCCCCGGGCGGGGCGGGGGCGGGCAGGTGGGCACTCACTCCGGGGCCCGCTGCAGCGTGGCCCTGATGAAGTCCTTGGCGTCCTCGCTGAGGTGGGCGGCCACGGGGCTGCTCCAAGACACCCGCCCTTCCAGAACGTTCAGGAGGGTGGCGCGGTCACTCTCGCCCGCGAACGGGGATGAGCAGGTCAGGCTGAAAGCAGAGGGAGGGCCCAGCCCCGCTGAGGCCCTGACAGGACGGGCTCTCAGCCCTGCTCCCTTCCAGCCCAAGAACCGGCATGGCCCAGATTTGCCCCGAGGGGTTTAGGCTCAGCTTGGAGCAGGCCTGGGGCCAAGCCTGGAGTGGGGAGCCGGGCTCGGGCTGGGGCTGGGGTCAAGGGTCAGCCCACAGGGGAGAGCCAGGCTCAGTCTACACCGCCAGCACCCTCGGGCAGCGGTGGGTGTTACGAGTGGCCACCGGACAACCCCCACCCACCGCGGGAGAGCGGCTCAGCGCCGCCTTGTGACCTGGCACAGCGCCCCTGGTGACAGGCTGCTTGTGAGACGCCCTGGGCAGGAGCCTCTTATCGGGCTTGGCTGACCGCCTGTTCCCAACATAGCTGCCCCCGTCCCGGGTCTCTGCTCTGGGCAGTGGCCGGCAGCGCGTGGCCTCGCGGGCCGCATGGCAGGGCTTGGGGTCGGCTTGTGAGGAGGCGGCCGACGGGGCAGGGCTCTGCTCACCTGAGGTAGGAGATGACGCCCATGGCCCTGCAAGAGGAAGCCACACGTGGTGAGTGCCCCTGGGCCTAGCCCGCAGTCAAGGGTGTGGGGGAGCCCAGGCAGGGAGGAGGAGACCGAGGTTCAGAAAGGACCCCTGGCCGGCCCCCAGGGTGGCTCAGGGAAAGGCCTCCCAGGGAGGCTGCAGCCCCACTGGCCGCGCCCTCGGCTCACCAGATGTCGGAGGCCTCGCTCACGGGGCTCTGCTCGATGATCTCAGGGGACACAAACTCGGGGGAACCGTACTGGCTGTACTGCGGTTCTGCCGGGGTGATATTTTGGGCAAAGCCAAAGTCGCAGATTTTAATGTCTTCCCGGGCAGGATGCACCATCAGGATGTTGGGAGGCTGTTGGGTAGAATCGGGGAGTGGGTGATGGCTGTGCCCTAAGGGAGGTGACTCCTGGGGCTGCCAGGCCTTGGCGAGGACACTCAGGGGTCTGTGAAGCCAGTGCGGGGCAGTGGGGAGCATGCCAGGCAGGTTTGGGGACCTGCACCCCAGCCGAAGGGGCTGCTGGGAAGTAGTGAGCTCCCTCTCCCTGAAGGCAAGCAAGTGCAGTCAGGGCGGCTGGGCTTGGCAGGCCTGCGCCCTCCCAGCCGACCAGGCCCCCAGCTCTGGGACAAGGGGGTGGGGGCCCGGGTACCTTTATGTCCAGGTGGAGGACGCCGTGGCTGTGCAGGTAGTGCAGTCCCTCCACCAGCTGCTGGATGTAGACCTTCACCTGTGGCAAAGGCCAGCGCTCGTGTGACAGGCCTCAGCCTGCCCCCAGGGACTCCAGCACCTGGCACAGACCCCACAGGGCAGGGACCTGCAAAGCTCTCCTGAGCTCTGTGTGCCCTAAAGCCGGGGGATTCCGCCAAGGTGGGGAGGGCTCGCGAGGGTGCTCGGCAGGAGGGCAGGCAGGACTGGCCCAATTGGCCAGGTGGGGTTGTCGGGGCAGGGCACAGGCGAGGCGGGGTGGGGGTGGGGTTGGAGCCGGACTGAGGGCCGAGACACCCCTGGGGAGCCACAGGCGGTCCCTGAGCTGGGGAGGGCTGCGCCTGGGGCGTGTCTAGGGGGCAAGCGGGCAGGGGGGCTGGGGCCAGGTGTGCAGCTCGGGCGGGGAGCGGGGGGGCGGTGCTGTCACCTCGGCCTCCGTCACCACGCCCTTCTTGAACAGGCGGTCCAGCAGCTCCTCGGAGGAGCACCTGGGCTCCCATCAAGGAAAAGCAGCTCTGGGGGGGGGCGGGAACCCGCCCGGCCCCCGACACCCACGCTTGCAACGAGGCAGCCAGGACCGTGAGTGAGTCTGCCACCGGGGGCGGGGGGTGGGCCAGGGACCCCTCCGGACCCCAGAGGGCACCCAGCCTCTCTGCACAGAGCCCACCCCCAGCATCCCCTCTCCGGGAAGAGGGTGCCGGCTCGGGCTGGTGAGGGTGCAACGAGATCCCCCCAAGACCCCAAGACAGGGCTGGCCCGGACAGGCAGCTGCTCTGCTGTCTCTCGGGGCCACCTGCAGAGTGGGAGGGGCCCTCCAGCCGTGCCCACTGAGGACCTCCTAGACCATCAGGACTATCAGCTCAGCCACCAGCACTGCCAGTGACCCCAGTCGATGCCCGTGGAACAGAAGAACCAAACCCGGACCTGCGCTATCGTGAGCTGCGAACAGGAGCTGTTTGTTACACAGCAGAAACGCAGGGAAGCCGCGCTGACAGCTGTCGCCACGACCCGGCCAGGCGCGGGCCCCCACCCACCGGGGGGACTAGGGGCAGGATACAGTTCTAAGACAAGAATGAGGGTCTTCCGGGTCTCGAACTGGTCCAGCAGCCCAGTGACCAGCGGGTGGCTCAGGGTGGCCAGGACATCTCGCTCCCGGTACGCCTGGGCCCGAGTTTTGCTCCTCAGGGGGATGAATTTGGCGGCGCACGAGACCTTGTTTCCTTTGTGCTGCACTCTTTTCACGAAGCCAAACACGCCCCTAGGACGGAGGGAGGGAGGGTCCAGGGGCGCGGTGGACATGGCTTCCCGGGAGTCCTGGGGTCCCAGGGGAGGGGCTGGGGCAGTACCTTCCGATCTCCTCCTTGACCTCATAGAAGGAGTGTAGCTTCCTGCGGGAGCTTTGCTTCTCGGAGCCGGGCTCGTCGTCCCCTAACGGGATGCGGTCAGTATGGGCAGGGTGACCACCCTGGTGCCCGCTGCCCCCCAACGCTACAGTACTGGGTGCGGCTCCCTAGACCCGGGACTATGAGACCGCACCCACCTGGGTGCCACCCACGGGGACAGAGGATGCTGCGGGGAGCCCAGACCTGTACCTGGCCAGCCTGGCTGCAGGGCCTGGGCCCCGGAGGGGTCGGCCAACTCACCCCCACGGACCAGCAGCTCCGCCTTGCAGAGCACCTGGCCACCGGTGTTTTGGGCCACGCAGGTGTAGACACCAGCATCCTGCCGGGACACGTCCTTCAGCACCAGGGAGTACGTGGTGCCCTCCTGCCGCTGGCTGAGCCGGGCGCCGTCCGCCAGCTGGACGCTGTCCTGGAAGCACAGGACAGGCGAGGCCGCCATCAGCCCTCCCTGGGGGACTCTGGCACCTGCGGCCCACCCTGCCCCTCGTGGAGCAGTGCTTCCGACACCTGCTGTGTGTCCCGTCCCGTGTCTAGCCTGGAGGGGATGCTGGGAAATGCACGGCGGTGACTGCATGACGGGGACTGCAGGATGACGGGGATTGCACGGCCCCCCCACACACATGCACCTCCCTCCCCCAGCTCCCGGGGGCCGTCCACCCACCCTCCCGCACCCCACCAGGACCCTCCTACCTTGTACCAGGTCACCGTGGGCTTCGGGTTGCCCTCAATGACAGCCTCAAACTGTGCCATGCCGCCTGCCTGGACCTGCACATCCTCGATGGTTACCTGCATGGACGGGGGCCCTGGGGGGCGAAGGGGAGGGAGCCGTGGGGAGGGGTCCCCAGACTGCATGGGTGGTCAGAGATATACCCCAGGGCAACAGAGCCCACCTCCCTCCCAAGCGACAGCGTCCCCCGTCCTGAGTGCCCAGGCCTCTGACAGGTGGGAAGTGCTTCCCTCAGTCTAACCACTGTCTCTCCTGCTTTCACCTCAGCTGGTCAAGTAGTCAGGTCAGGCTAGGGCAGGCAGAACTTGCTGAGGCTGTCACTCTTGGGGACAGGGTCCTATGGATGCCACGTTCACTGCTACTTGCCTCTGCCTGTAGAGGGTTCTGGCCCCTCCACGGGGACATAGAGAGAGGCTGGGGCAGGGCTGGGACACACCGGGGTGGCCTCTGCAGATGTGCATATGTCCCCCAGCCCTGGGCACGGGGCGCAGAGATTACACGGGGAACCCGGCTAGGCTCGATCCGTACTTGCGGCGCCGGCGTCAACGGCGCGGTACACGTAGGTCGTCTGTGTGGTCTCCGTAACCACGCGGCTGTGGACGTCCCAGAGCAGCTCCCCCGCGCCTGCTGCCGGCCGGGCCGCGCCCTCCGTCCTGGGAGGAGGAGCTGGCTGAGCCCCTGCGGGCCAGCACCGAGCCTCCCGCTCAGACGGCGGGCGGGGTCCCTGCTCTGCCACTCTTGGCGAGGCCGAGGCAAAAACTCCTGGGGACAGGACGCACGGACGGGCCCGCCCTCTGTGAGGGGCTCACCACGCCTCGCCCCAAGGCTGGCGGGGCTCCCTGCCCTGCTCCCGGGCTCGGGGTGGGGGCCGTGAGACCAGGCCCCCAACGGCTGCTCATGTCCACATGGCAGAGCTGGAGCCCCCGCGACGTCCCCTGGAGGCTGCCCCCCACCCGCATGACCCAGCCGGCCGGGGAGGTTACCGAATGGGCACGGTCCGCTCCTGCGCCCCCACGCCGGCCTCCGTCTCCCGCTCCGGGCCTCCGTGGGGCAGGGGTGGCGGTGGCGGCACCGTCAGGGGCTCGAGTGGCGGCAGGCGGGAAGCCTGCTGGGCCCCGGGGGCTGCCCCCCTCGACAGGCCCCGCACGTCGCCAGGCAGAGCAGCAGGCTCCAGGGGCCCTGGGCCGGGCAGAGGGTGGTGAGAACCGGCTAGGGTCCCCGTCCCCAGGCCCAGGCTCCCAGCCCTCAGCTCGCAGACGCCGGGGCCCGCCCCACACCGGCCGCAGCACCCTCCGCCCCCACGGCGCACCCCGCGGCTGGAGGCAGCTGTGTCAGCACCACCGATGCCGCGGGGTCCACGGTTTTCTCAGCACACAAGCGATGGCGGGAGGGACCCGGGGACTGTGGTACTGTCCGTGCGGCTGCCCGGAGGCCGCAGTGTGGGGCCCGGCAGGGGACAGGGAAGCCCCCGGACACCACCCAGCGGGCGGGGGGAGGAGAGGAGAGATGCCACAGCAAACCGGTTAGAGAAGCGGGGCGCAGGACAGCACAGCCCAAGGCGCAGGCAGGCTGCGGGCTCTGCGGTCACGCACACGCCAACCTGGGGAGGGGTGAGCAGATGGGAACTGCGGCCCGGCGCGGGGAGCGGGGCGCGACGGGTCCACGTGGGCTCCTGCTTGCTCTGCAGAGGCAGCTGGCACGATAAATACACATGACGTTGTGACGGTGGCCGTCATTGCCAAGGACAGGCCGAGTGGCACTGGGGTGGGTGTGTCTGCCTGGCCATCCCGCAGGGAGAGCGAGGGGCCAGGGCGGGTCCTCCCAGACCCCCGCCCCAGCCTCTGCTCCTCTGTGCCACCTCTCGGACGCCAGCCCTCGTTCGCTGCAGGAGTCTGAGAAGCTGCCACTTCCTAGGGCCTGAGAACCCCGGGCCCACCAGCCCACCCAGCCCCGTGTCGGACGCCGGGGCAAACGTGTGCAAATGCAGGGCCTAGAGGCCGCCCTTGGCCCTGGGTGGTCCCGGAGCACCCGCCGGCTGGAGGGAGGAGCCTGTTTGTCCAGGGCCTCCGGCTGCAGCGCGGCGGGGAGCAGAGCCGAGGGGTGAGTGTCTCGCCTGCGGGGGAAGGTGCCCCGGCCGGGGAGGCCGAGGCGGACGGGGGACAGGGTCCTATGGGCGTGCGAGCCCCGCACGCCCGTCCCTCCATTGGCCAAACCGTCTGAAACGCCGGCCCAGGCGTGGGCTCAGGGCGGTGAGCAGGGCACCCACCGTGGGGGTGTCCCCCACTGGCCCCGGGGGGAGCGCTGCAGCCCACAGGGACCACACCAGCGGGGCTGTACCGGGGAAGGCGGTACAAGACGGTGGGTGACTGGAGGGTGGGCACCGGCGCTGGGGGGCTGGGAAGGTTCTCCGGGTAAAGGTGACTGAGGCAGGGGCTCTGGGTGACCCACAGCGCCGGGGCAACCACCGGGTCTGGTCTGTCTGGGGCACAGGTGCAGCAGCCTCCACCTTCCCTCCTGCCCCTCCTCCTCCCCCTGCTCCCTGCCCCACTAAGGAGCACAGAGCACCTGGACTGGCCATCAAAGTCCAACCATGGAAGGCCTCTGGCTCCTGGAACAGACCTGCTCAGGGTGGGAAGAACCTTCCAGAACCCATCCCATGCCTAGTTTCACAGATGGGGAAACAGAGGCCAAGGGAGGACAGCTGGGCCTTGCCCGGGGCCCCCAGGGCATGGAGCCATCGGGATCCCAAATCGGGGTTCTGGGGACTCAGTCAGTTGACGCTGTGGGCTGGGCCCCCAAGGTGACCCCTCAGGTCAGGCCCCCAAGCCGGGGTCAGATCCCTGGGAGGGGGTCTTTGGGGTCAGCCCCCTCCAGGCCTCACCGGGTACGTCTGGGGCTCCTGCGCCTCGGAGCTGGGGACAGGCCTCTGAGAGTGCGGGTGGCCCCCCAGGGCTGGGGCCAGGGCTCGCGAGGTCCTCCGAGGAAGGGACCAGCGGCTTGGGGCTGTGTGGTCTCTGCGGGACGGACGCGACCTCTGGGTCCACGCGGTCCTGGGCGGTGCGGACAGCGTCCTCCAGGGCGGCATCTGTGGACCAGGCAGGCAAGTGCAGCGTGGTGAGGCCCGGGCGACTGGCATGGCCTGAGCCCGGGGAGGGGGCTCCAGGGACCCCCGTCCTCAGAGACTGCCCGGGTTGGCCGACCCCGGGCTCTCCCTGTGAGTGGAAGCCCCTGAGATCCACGCTGAGGGAAGCTACTGCCTCTGCTCAGAGCCCCGTCCTCCCCTCGATGCCTTCGGGAGAATGTCGCCTCCTCCAGGGAGCCGCCAGGCCTGGACACCTGCCCCCGCCCCCTAACCACAGTCCTCCATCCCAGGGCTGGCCTCCCCTCAAGGCCGACTCGGGACTCCAGGGTGCTGGGTTCCCAGCCCCAAACCTGGGGCTCCGGCAGGCTGGTGTGAAACCAAGGGCTGGGAACCCTCAGGGAGTGGGTGCCCAGGCGGCCACAGCTGTGGGCCCTCACCGAGGACAGGCCCAGCGTGCACCTGTGCTAACCCGCCCTCCCCTCCAGCCACAGCCCGGCCCAGCCCCCTCCTGGGTGCACCGGCCCCCAAGTGGCTTCATGTGTGTCCCCAGCAGGTCCACCTGCCTGGCCCCCCTCCTGCTCCTCTTCCCGGTCTTCGAGCCCCTGCTGAGGGGCTCCTTCCAGGGCTCCCTGATGCCAGGGTGGAGAGGCAGCCCCAGACTGCCCTCTGCAGGACCAGGGCGTCCACCCTCCCTCCCCCAGTTCAAGGAGCTCAGCAGGACGCCGGGGCTGGCCTCGGGGCTGGAGGTCAGCTGGGAGGCTGGCGTCCTGCCCCCCACAGCTGCCAGAAGTGTCCCACCAGGGACAATGCGGTGACCCCTAGATACTGAGCCCCTCGAGGGTCAGCGCATCCCACCCTCTGAGCCCATGTCTGCCGCAGCAACAGCCCCAAATGTCCAGAGCCCAAGAAGGCCTGCCCGGCCCCCGGCAGGCCACAAGTGGCTGTCATGCGGTTCTGGTCACACCGCGAGCCCGTGAGTGTGAGCAAGCTACCATGGGTCACCCAGGCTGCCTCGCTGGGCGCCGGGTGCAGCAGCCACCCCAGGGGACCGCCCAGGGCTGCACGCAGAGGGGCCCTGGGCCGCCTGAGTCGCCGGAGCCACTGGGCAGAGAAGGAATAGCAGACAGGAGGTACAGGGAGCGGTTTATTGTTGCTGGTGGAGCGGGGCGCCTCCCCACACACAGAGCCCGGGTCCCCCGCAGAGAAGGCCCAGCAGAGTCTGCAGCGCTAGGGGCGGCCACAGGGATGTGCCCTGCCGAGGGGTCTCAGGCCCCCCAGCCTGCAGGAGAAGTCACGCGGTGTGAGGCCGGGGCCCGGCGGAGTGGGCGGGGCCCCCATGGGGACAGGACAAATGCCCAAGTCCACGTCTGTGTGTGGAGCCCCCAAGGCTGCTGCCCGTCCAGAGGGGTTAACGGTCCAGAGCTGGGGGTCTCTGAGGCGCTCCCGGGGGATCCCGACGTTGCCCACGCTGTGCGTCACCCTCCCGGCTGAAGTCCCAGCGCAACGAGGTAGGAGGGGCCCAGGGCGGGAGGGCAGGGCAGGCGAGCCGGGGCTCCTGGGGGCTCTGCTGAGGGTGCTGGGCAGTGTCCTGGGCCCTGTGGACACTCCTCTCTCCCTGCCGTCCCCCAGGCCACGATGGCAGTAGCTTCAAGGGTGTGTGGCCGCCTCGTCCCCATCCGGGCGGATGTGCAGAGTGACGGTCTCCCCTACTGTCCCGAAGCCGACCGTCTGGGTGGAAAGCTCCATCGTGAAGCTGCTCTGGCCGCTGTCTGCAGAGCGCTGGACCCGGGTGCAGAAGGACTGCGTCCGGGGGGCAGCGGCACCCACGGGCCCGACCCGGGCCTCCCGCATGAGGAAGGACACAGCCTCGGGGCTGTGGGCCTGGGGACCGGACGGCGGCAGCGATGACGGCCCCCGGGGCTCAGGCCTGAAGAAGCTGCGCGGAACTCGGGGACCCGGCGCGCGCCCCACGTTGAGCAGGACGGGCTGCCCCACGGTGGGCTCCTTGATCTCCCTCTGGATCACCGAGACCTCGCAGGGCGGGTCGTCGGGGGCGCCGGGCACGGCAGAGCCGCCACAGCCGAAGGTCTCCCCCTCCTCGGGCACGTAATCCTCCAGGTCAGCCAGGGTCAGCGCGCGGCCGTTGTGCGTGAGGACCTTGAGGTCGCGGTCCTGAAGGCCGTCAGCGTCCGGGGGCTCCTCCAGCATGAAGGCCGCTCCCTCCTCTCCCTCTTCCCCTCCTCCGTCCTCCTCGAGGGGGGCCCCAGCCTCTTCCGGCAGATCGGGGCTGGCTGTGCCTGGAGTGGCCCAGTCCACGCCGCCCCCGGCGTCCACGCGCAAGACCAGGGGCTCCCCGACGCGGACCACGGCCGGGCCCCGCACCCTGGCTTCCACGCCCAGCAGCTTGTTGTTGGAGTTGTTGGAATTGGGGTCCCTGCCGGGCAGCGTGAAGGGCAGCCTTGAGGAGCTGTCGGGTGCCTCCTCTCTGGCAGGAGACACGCCCTGCGGGCCCGTCTTCCTCACCCGGACCTCGATGGTCTCCTCCACCTCCACCCACTTGGGCTGGGGTTCTGCGCCCCCCGGTGGGGCCGGCGTGTGGGCCTCGGGCTCCGTCACGTACAGCGTGGGCACGGGGGGCTTCCGGCCCGGCTCCGCCTCGGGCCTGCGGGGCTGGGCAGCCCCCGGCAGGTACAGCAGGTCGGGGGCCAACAGGCCTGGCCTGGGAGGGCTGGCGGAGCGGCGGGAAGGTGAGCGGGACGGGGACTTGCTGGGCGAGTGTCGCCGGCCACGGGGGCTCTTCACCACGGTGGTGATGGTCTCTTCTCTGGGGGAGGGGGAGAGGGCCCGAGAGGAGGTGGGCGCAGTGCCCAGGGTCGTGCGAGAGCGAGTGGGTTAGTGTGCCAGCGAGTGAGTGGTGAAACTGCACAAAGAAACTCCTACGCGTGCTCTTGAGCCCCACCCACAGAGCCCCCAGCCAGAGAAGCAAAGAAACAAAGCACAAAGTCCCGAGCGGCCAGCCTCAGGCTCTGGTGTGAAGATCTCGAAACGGGAGCCTGGGGAGGCCCACGCCACATTGCGCGGGCAAGCGCCTCCAAAAACCAGGTCAAACCCAGACCTGCAACGTCCCCCTGGCTGGTCCCCCTCCTCGCCCCCCAGCCGCAGGCCTTGTGCTTTGTGTCACAGGAGAGGGGCACCCACTAGCTCGCAGAGGGCGATACCTGCGTGCCTCGAAAACCCCGGTTAGGGACAGGATGCGCAGCTCACGCCGCAGGTGCGTGCGGGGGGCGGGGTGGGGGGGCCACCGCAGCCCCGACCTGTGGCCTGTTCCCCTGACCTCTGGGGCTGAGGGCATGAGGCCCGGCAAGGCCGGAGACCTGCCTCCCCCAGGGCTCGGGGAGAGGGGTGGGCGTGTGTGTGGTGACTAAGGCGTTGGGCGTGTCTCTCTCATTCAGCTTTGCTTTGGTCTGACTCGGGCTCCACTTGGAAGCAGCTGTTCCCAGGGATGCGCCCAGAGACGTGTGGCCGACCCTGAGGGCACACGGCCATTACAGGTAAGGAGGACGTCACATCCCAGCTCACGGTGGGGAAGCTGCGGCCGGGAGACGTGGCCTGCTCAGGGGTAATGATGACATCCCCTCGTGGATAAAAGGTGGAATTAATCTGTGTACGGCCAGGACGTGGCTGCACATCTCCAGGAATGGGGTGCTCCCCACCACCCCGGTGGCCCATCTGTCGTGGGTGGCACGAGCCTACTCTGGGGAGAGGAGGAGAAAGTCAAGGAAGGGTTAACCCAGGATCTCGCCAGATGTCTGACCGTGGATTGTGTAACAGCCTGGCCAACCGCACCCCTTTAGGAGGCTGTAGGTCGATGGGAAACTAAGAAGTTTCCCATCCTGGAGCTTCTTGGTCATTTGGCCTTAGGAAGCCATGGTCCTTCCTGCCTCCTAGCTCTTGCAAGCTCCTCCACCACCTCCACCTGCAAACACTTCCTATGGGAAGTCCTCCCAGATTACCCAGGTCAAAACCAATCCTACATTCTGTGGGCTCACCTAGCTCTGATGCCCTTTGTGTTGTTTCATCAACAGCCTGTGCGGTTTTCCCCCAGCCGTGAAGGCGCTGGCAGGTGAAGAGGAGATGGTGGGCGTGGCACCGGGGAAATGGGACCTCCCATGGCTTCCCGTCATTAGCTGCTCTGAGCCAGCCCCCTCCCTTCCCCGAACCTTGGTTTCCCCATACTCCAAATGTGACCGCTGGGCTTGGAGACCTCAAAGGGTCCCAGGACTGTGCTGTCCACTACGGCTGCGCTATTTAAATTAAATCCAAATGCATAAAATACAATTTAAAATTCAGTTCTTTAGTCACACTAGACACATCTCAAATGTTCAACAGACACATGGCGTGGCCACCGCTATGGGCAGTGCAGATATAAACTGTCTGTACCCACAGTGGGGCGTGGAGCATTTCCATGACCATGGACATTCTGCGGGACGGCACTGCCCCAGCTCCCAGGGTGCAGAGGGAAGCTGCTCTGTGCCCCAGCTTCGCCTTAACTGGTGTGATTTGGGGTCCGAGCCCTGGGGGAGCCCTGGGTGGTGTGCAGGATGAGTGTGCCCTGGAGAGGCCGTGGGTCGTGGAGAGGGTGCTGATACCCTGGGAAAGAGCTGTGAGCCGTGAAGGCCGCCAAGGTCCCCCGCGCAGGCAGTTACATGAGAAGCTTCCTGCGCCTATCTGCAAGGTGCCGGCAATCTGCAGGGAGCACGGGGCTGCGTGAGCAGGCAGTGGGGCGGGCAGGTGGCCAGGCAGGACCCAGGGCGCGGTGCAGGCGGGTTAGTGGCATGCAGGAGGGCACTGCAGTCAGAAGGAAGGTTAGGAACACGCCTGCACTTACATGATGACGGTTTTCTTGGGGACTTTAGTCTCTTGCTCAGTGACTACAAAGAAAACAGTCGGAATAGCAAGGGTTACAGACCAGCCAGCGTGGCAGCGTAGGACCTGCTCAGCTGCCCCTGGGCAGACCATCTCCACTGGGAGCCTCAGTTCCCTGCTCTTTGAGATGGGGGTGAGGGTGTCTGCCCCGAGCGGCTGGGGCATGAGGTGTGACCACGCTGCGTGCGACTGTCTCTCTGGAAGGCCCTGCAGGAGCTGAGAGGACGGTGAGGGCCCTGCCTAGGCTGCCCACACCAGAATCCCAGCTTCTCCCTCTGGCCCTGTGCTGAAGGAGCCCTGTCAGGCCTGAAGTCTGAGTCCTGGAGAGGGGATGAAATGGGGAAGCTGGCAGCCACATTGGCACGGGGGCGCTTGCTGCCTCATTTATGAAAAACTTGGAGAGGGACTCTGGAGTCCTGACAGTGGCACGTCTTAGCTCCATGGCATGGGGCCATGGAAGTCCTGCCTAGAACAGTACCAGAGGACGCCCAAGCAGGGTCCTGGGCTCTGAGCGAGTGGGGCCACCTGTCTCCCTAGGGAGCATCCCCGGCCCACACATTCGGGGGCCTCTCCTGGTTTTCCTAGCGACTTCCTCCCCGGAGCCGGCAGGATGGGCCTGTGGTTCCTGTCTTGCAGATGGGGACTCTGAGTTCCAGAGCTGGGATGGGGCCCGTCTGGGGGCAGGTGCCTGCTGTGCCCTGCAGCTCCCGGGCGGTGTCAGGCGGGACACAGAGATTTCCCTGTGCAGCCTTGGCCAGCTGGACCCTCTCGCCACCCTGCAGGGACTCCCTGCTCTGCCGCATTGCTGCGGACAGAAAGGTTTCCCTGAGGCACTGGGGGTCTGTTAAGGCTGTCTCAGAGGGGGTGCACCTGAATTAAATGTACCAGCATTGTCTGTGTGCACATTTGGGAGCCACGTGAACTGTGCATTTGTGTGCATGCACACGCATGTGTATGTGCATGCATGTGTGCACACGTGACTACGTGCATGCATGTGCATGCATACATATGTATGTGTGCGTGCTATGTATAAATGTGTGTAGGGGGTGTGTGTGCACAGGCCGCCCCCTGGAGAGAGAATGGGGTCTGGCCCGAAAGCTCTGTGTTTTAGACTAAGTTGGCTGCAGAGAGAGCCGTGTGCAGAGCAGAGGGACACCCTCGGACAGCCGGGCGCCTCTGGGCTGCTCCACTCCTGACACCTTCCTTCACCGACCTGACCTGCCACCTGACCAGCTCTGGGCCCCGAGTGAGCATCTGCGACTGCAGGGGCGCAGCCGTGCGAAGCGGGGCTCCCAGCCCAGCAAGTTCATAGCCGGGGCCATGCCCACCCCGCAGGCCCACCAGGCCCTGCTCTGGCTGCAGAAGGAGCTGCCGGGTTACGAGGAAGCAGCGGGAGAGGAGTTAGGAAGCGGCAGGCGCTGGGCTCTGACGCCAGGGTCTTCTGGGGCCGACCTTTCCGCCTCGCTGAGGCATCGACGCCACAGGTGGGCCCGAACCCGCTCTCCCTCTCACGAAGCCACCCCCTCCACTGTTCCCAGAGACAGACCCGCAGTGACAACCCAGCGAACAACTGTGGGGGACCCTCCAATCACCAGCAGGAGAGCCCTGGCGTCCCCACCAGGCACTCCCTGGACCGTGAGATGCGCGGAGCTGAGGTGCGCGGCGGCAGAAGCGTTTGTGTGTGATGCTGTGGGGCCGGCAGAGGTCGCAGGGCCCCCGGGGACACACCAGACATGGGGCGCCCATGGCCCTCCGGGGTGTGACACACAAGGACCCCCTGCCCGGCGAGGGAGGGGTCTCTGAGCATCATGGACGGTGTAAACATCTTAGGCGGCCCAGCTCTGCGACATTCCGGATGGGAAACCGACCTCCAGTAACTGGGCCCGGGACGGCCGGTTCCAGTGGACTCAGAGGAGGACGTGCGCTCCAGCCCGCTCTGCAGTGGTGGCCGCAGGTCCACCAAGCGTGGGCCTGGCCTCGCTTTCAGGCCCCCAGGTGGGCAGCTCCAGCCAGGAAGCCCGGGACAGACGCGGACGCCCTCCTCCCCGCCTCGCCTGCACCCTCCCTCCACCTCGTGTCCCGGCGAGGCTCACGGTGCTGCCCAGTCCCCTCCCCAGCCCTCGGGAGTGGCCCCAGGCCAGGCCGGGGAGGCTGAGCCACGGTGTTCCACCCACGTAGAGCCTGAGGCTCCCCAGAGAGCCTGGGCCGCCTTGTCGCAACCCTGCTGGTCACCCCACCCCGGCCGGCGGGGCGTCTCCACGCTTGCTCTGCCCCGCACGAGGGGCCCCCGACACGCGCCCTGGGGGCCAAGCTGGGGCCGGCGCCTCTCCCTCTGCACTGGGCGGGGAGCCGCTCTTCCTCGAGACGTCCTTCCCCTCCTGCCCCAGCCGCACTGGCCTTTATGCACGGCGCCGTCTCCCCAGGGATGGTGAGCAGGGCTTGGGGACCCCCTGCCCGTCAGGGCTCCCTTTCCAGCCTTCACACGGACGCTGTGTCTGCGACCCACCCTCACCTCCCACCAGTGCCACCCCTGCAGCCTCCCGCCCTGGGGCGCCAACCCAGCCCCCTGCTCCAGGAAGCGTCCTCCACTGGAAGGGCGACGCCTCAGCCCCCCAGCTGCAACCTCAACTCCCGCTGCCGCCCAGGCTGCGGAGGGTCCAGCCTGGGAGCCGCGGAGCCCGCACAGCCGAAGCCGGGACCTACCTTCCATGGCGGCCACGAGCTGCTCCCTGTGGCGCTGCTCCCGGGCCCGCAGTGCGGGGCTCTGCAGGGACAAGTCCGCGCCGCCTCGCGTGGACCCCAGCCGGTTCACCAACTGCAGACGGACGGCAGAGGCCCGCTCAGAGCCTGAGGCTCCCCGAGGGGCCTGGGCCACTTTTTTTTGGGCACGTTGTCTGTTTGCAGCACGGGCGGCCCCCACGCAGGGAACCCTGCGGCCCGGGGGCTTCTTGCGGTTTGGGACGTTGTTCCCGTTCCGGGTTGGGTTTGCGGGGCCGGGGGGTTTGGGTTCTTTGGGTTGGGGCCTTTTGGCGAGGGACTTGATTTTTTGCTTGGTTTTCCCTTTACTTGCTTTTTTTTTTGTTTGTTTTTTGGGGCCGGGTTTTCCTTTTTTCCCCCGGGTTGGGTTGCATGGTGTCATCACAGCTCACTGCAACCTCTGACTCCTGGACTCAAACGATCCTCCTGCCTCGGCCTCCCCAGGAGCTGGGACTACAGGCGCCACGCTGCCTGGCTAATTTTTAAATTTTTTTGTAAAGATGGGGTCTCACTATGTTGCCCAGGCTGGTCTGAAACTCCTGGCCTCAAGCGATTCTCCTGCCTCAGTCTCCCAAAGTGCTGGGATCACAGATGTGAGCCACTGCACTCGGCTTCTTTAACTGATTTAAATCTAAGTTTAAATCCCTTGGTATGGCCCACAGTGACTGCACCAGACAGTGTCAGTGCAGAGCTCATGTGGGTCCCCTGCGTCCTGGGGTCGGCTGTGGGCAGCAGCCACACAGGGGAGGCTGGTGGCCAGACGAGAGCCCTGGGAAGTGCCAGCCGGTGCCAGGGGCTCTTAGGGCACCCGCAGTCAGCACACACCCACTGCGGGCAACCGTGGGGCCTCGGAGGGACAGAGGACTCACACCAGGCCTCACTGCCCCCAGGAGCCCCCGCCCCAGCCCTGTGACACAGTGGCGGGTGCAGGGGACAGCTCTGTCCATCTGCAGGGCCGGCCGTGTCCATGAGGGGAAGGCACCTGGGTGATGCCAGGCAACGCGCGGTGACTGACACTCTGTTTTTACTTGAATGATGAAATTCGGGAGGTCAGTACCAGGTCCCCCCCAGAAGCTGAGTGGCATCCTTGAGCTTTCGAGGGACACTGGGGAACAGGTGCCCAGTGTCACATGGGAGGAGTGGGAGGCCTTGGCGGAGGAGGAAGGCCAGAGCGTGGAGGGGCGGCGTAGCTGAGGACAGTGGTGAGAGCAGCCTGGCGTCCCCCAGGCTGGCAGGAGGGACGTGGGTGACGGTGGGCATGCTGTCTCCCGGCCTCTCCCCCGAGGCCCCTGGCGCCACGCCTCACCCCACAGCTCACCTCGCACTCGTAGTAGCCCAGGTCTTCCTTGCCGGCTGCCCGGATCGCCAGCGCCAGGACGCCGCTGCGGGGCTCGCTCAGTATGCAGTACTTGCCGCCAGGTGTCAGCAGGGCACCGTCCTTGTACCACCTGCAAGCCGCCCCACATGGCCCGTGAGGCAGGGCCCAGGCCACCCTCTGCCCCTCCAGCCTGCCCGGCATCCTCACGGCACCTGCCCCAGGCCCCGGGCCCTTGGAGAGCCCACCCTTCCAGCAGCCGAAATCCGACCTGCCCTGTCCTCCTGGTGGCAGGCAGGGCCCACGGCGCCCGCTCTTCCGCTGAAGGCCGTGGTCATGTGTCCAGCCTGCCCCCGACCCGGGAACACGCATCCCATGCCTTGCGCCCCAGCAGGGCTGACCGCCCCTCACTGCCTGGCCCCCGCCGGCGGCCGGGGTCCCACCTGATCTGGGGGTACGGGGCGCCTTCAACGGTGCAGGTGAACTGGGCATCCTCGCCCTCCACAAAGGGCGCCGCCCGCACCTTCTTCACAAACCGCGGGGGCACTGCAGACGGGGGGGGGCAGAGACAGACAGAGACGGGGAGGCGCCATGATGCAGCCACCCGTCAGTGCCCTGTGACCCCTCAGCAGGCCCCCAGACCACAGCCAGCCGTCCACACCCCTCCCGCTGCCCCGCTGTCCGGCTCTCTCACCCCACCCTCGCCCCGCCAGCAGCCCCGGCCCTCAGCGCCCACCTTGCACGAGGATCTTGCCCAGCGTGCTGGCGCTGCCGGCGGCACTGGCCGCGAAGCACATGTACTGGCCGGAGTCCACGCCGGTCAGGTTGTCCAGGATGAGGGCGCAGGAGCCGTCGGGGTCCTCGATGAGGATGTGGTGCGGGTCCACCTCCACCGGCTTCCCGTCTGGAAGGGCCGGGTGAGGGCTGTCACCAGCGGGACCCCAGAGGCCGACCCCACTGGGGATGAGCGGCTGGGCCTGGCCTGGAGCGTGCAGTCTGGCGGTGGCCGAGAGGCCACAGGGCCAGGGGTGGCCCCTGCTGAGTCGGCTCGACAAGGCGCCCAGGGGCCCTGGAGGGACAGGCCGAGACCAGCCTCCCCTGCTCCCCCGCCTCTGTCTCTATTTCTCTGTCTTTGTTTCTCTCTCTTTTTATCTGTCTCTTTCTGCCTCCGTCTTTCTTTGTCTCTGTCTCTCACTCTGTTCTCTCTGTCCAGCTTGGACACTAGCTGGAGGCAGGGGCTGGGCCAGGGGACCTGAACTCCTCAGAGGACAGCCCCCTGGAGAGCCGAAATCCTTGGTCGCCGCACCTCCCCAACGACCCTGCGACTCCCCGGGGACCTGCAACGCGCCCACTGCACCCCAGCTCGCAGCCCACGGGCCCTGTCCTCACCGCGGCCCCATCTTACAATCACCAACGCCCGCTCCCTGCCCGCCCAGCAGCGGCCAGCCCCGGCCGCGGCAGGCAGAGGGTCCCCCACCAACCTGCGTGAAGGGCTCACGTGCCGTGAGTGGCGCTAACCCCAGTGCCCTGGCTTGTCCCTGGGCCTCCCACCTGTACACCCCTCGCCCAGGCCACACCACGAATGGGTGCACACCTCACCCCCCGCCTGAGCAGACCCTCCGCGGGGGCCCTGGGGCCGCCTCATGTCGTCCCGTCCCGAAGGCAGACGCCCCGGAGCACCGTCTCCCCCAGCGGCGCACAAATGTGCCGGACACCGCCCCTCCGTTCAGTCCCCTTGTACGGAACGTGCATTGGAGGACTGAAAAAAATCTCTGAAATGTCACGCAGGCAGCCAGCGCGTGGCCTTCCGGCATAAAATCGTGGAGACGGAAACAGCGTGAAGTAAATCGCCCTGGTGGGAACGTCCAGCCAACCGTCCGTCTTGGGCGGCACCGCGGCGTAGGGAACACGTCCCCGCGGACAACTCCTCCCCCACGACGTCTGACTACGCGACGCCGCCCGGGCTCGCGCTGCCATCCTCTGGGCGTGCTCCCCCTGAGCGCTTAACTCACAAAGGCTCACGGGCACAGTGGCTTCTGATTTGCATAGAACTGAAGAAAATCATTTTAAACTATTTTAAAAAACAACAAAACTAGCTACCTCCTCAGCTCCCTGCACGTCTTATCACATGCCCGGCCTCCAGCCCGTCTGCTCCCAGCCGCTCCTAAACCCACCCCCGCCGGCCTCGCGCCTGTCCCCAAACAGCTCGTCGGGGCCCCAGACCCTCGGCCAATTCTCAGCCCTCCCCGGCCTTCCCAGATTCCCGTCTCACTCCGAGCAGAAGCACGCACGGCCAGGCTCGGCACGTTCCTCTACGGACAGCAGATGGAGGGGTCTCCCTCCCTGGACGCGCCCCGGGCGGGGGAGAGAAGGCCCTCCCCTTCCTTTCCCAGGAGACTGTTTTCCGCGTTCCAGGGTGGCAAGTCTGCTGCCTCTGCGGGCAGGTTGCCAGCAGCCCCCACAAGCTCAGCATCTCCTCAGATTTGGGGGTTCTCTCTTGGGGCACAACCCCCTGCAGGCAGTTAACACCTGGCCCCCAGCGTCTCACTCCTTGGAAACTGGGCTGTGGGGAACCAGCGCAAGCCGCCGCTCTGCCGGCTGTCCCCGGCCCGGGAGACTCGTGTCTGTGCTGTACCTGGCCGGCAGGCTGCCTTGCAAGGGGGTGAGCTGGGTAAGCTCTCTGGCCCTTCTCAGTTTTTGATTTGCAATTTTGGTGACGGGAAAGGGACACTGTCAGAGACATGGCCTTCTGGAAGGGACAGAAAAAGGCAGCTCCATGGGCCTCTTCCTCTACTTCGCCCCTTAAAGAAAGGAAACGAGGCAGGTGGTTGGCACGTGAGCACTGAGAAGGGGGCTCGAGGCGGACACCTGGATGTGCCCTGGGCGATGCTCCCTCTCCCAGTCCCCACCGGGGACCTCGCTGCTTCACTAAAAATACTGGAAGCGCCGCTGGATCCGAGGAAGACCCCCTGTCACTACACAGCCACGGAGACTCGCGTGTGTGCCGAGTGCCACGGACAGGCCACCGCCAGCCACGGTGGGCGGTCGGCAGGGCGGGGCTCGGGCTGGCGCGCTCGGAGGCGAGGGGACGGGCGCCGAGCCCGTGCTGAGGAGCAACGGCTGGGGCCCCGCCTCTCTCGCCCGGCCTCAGAGTCCCCCGGAGATGACGGCAGAGGGTCCGGGTCTCGGCCGAGGGCCTTGGCGCGGGAGATTCCCTGAGACCAAACCCGCGCCCCCCCCACCACCTACACGAGGGGAGACGTGGGGGACACACCAGTGACAGAGTGGACTCCGGGTACCCTGATGGCATCTGTCACACCGACTGGGGTGACCTGCTGCAGGGGAGGTGACCCAGAGGGATTTACGGTCAGTCCTACCCCCTCAGACGCCTCCCTTAGCCCTTACGGGGAAACCTGCCAGGGCTGCGAGGTGTTGTCCCGGAGCCAGATGCCCCGTGCCACGTGGCTCTGTAACAAGGTCACCGCTGAGCAAGCTAGACTGCAGGGGCGCAGGGCCCGCGGACCGCTGAACCTGTAAGGCACTGTGACGTGGCTCATTAAGGGGTCGCCAAAGCTAAGAGAGACGGTGCCCGCAGCGCTGACCGTGCTGCCCAGTTAGGACGAGGGGTTAGTTGGGCGTGGAGGTGCGCGTCACCCCACCCCCGTCCCGATTCCTTCCCGCTGCCTACCCCGACCTCCGCTCCTCAAGAGGAAAATGGTCAGGGCAGGCCGCAGGCTCCCCGCTCTGTCTGCCTGTCCCACACGCCGGGGCCCCCAGGGACACGCGAACTTCCACGGCTCTGCTGGACACAGGTGCCCATTGCTGTCCCGCCCTATTGCCATGGTGAGCGGGCCTGCGTGTGCCGTGGCTTCGGCTTCCACACCTGGACGCTGATGTTTGACGTGTCTGTGAGTCCTGCCTCCTACATGCCAGAGGACACGCTCCGTGACGTGAGACGGGGCGTAGAACCGCAGCACCACGCCCCAGCCCAGCCCCTGGCCCTTCCCGGGTTGGGGACGGAAACAGCGTGGAAGCCGGGAGGAGTCAGTCCGCGCCTCACCGAGAACTGGAGGGCAGAGGTGATGACAGGGCTGTGCCCACTCGGCGCCCGCACAGCTCACAGGACGCGCCGAAGGCAGCCAGTGGCTGGCGGCGAATTGGCACCCGCTCAATCCACTGCGGCTCCCACAGTCCCAGCCGGTGCAGAGTTCACGACCCTGACGGATCCAGAATCCAGCGCACACACGCCTGCTTTTTGCACGTTCTTGGCCTGCACAGCCCAAGACCACTTGCATGCATGTGGCGAGGTCTCCGGTACATGTGTCATAGGGTGTCCCAGTCAGGACGTGGCCCTCTGCCCTCTGCCTTTGTCCCTCGGGCCCCTAAGATCCCAAGGAAGCCCAGTGCCTTACGGACTTTGCGGGTATCGGGGCCACTGTGTCCCCACCTGGACCTTCTGACGGGTGCCCCGCCAGCGGCCGGTTCTCACAGGGCCAGAGCAACAGGCCGCCATGGGGACATCTGGCAACTGGCGCAAGCGCCAGCTTCGAGCCACGCTGCAGTGACGGCTCCTTTGCGCTCCGGGTCTCGGAGATGGGTCACTCCGCCAGCCGGAGTCTCTGGCAGTGGGAGGCCCCCCTCGGGTTTGGGACGTGTTCTGTTCGGACACAGCCGCCGGACACTCCCTGCTTTTGAAAGTCAGCTCTTGGCACGCGATGGGGCTCTGTCAGCGTGGAAGCCAGCCGTCCGACCCGGCAAGGCCTCGGAACTCTCCGTTGTGGGACGGGCCAGCTCACCTCCCGGCGCACAAGGCAAGAGGGGCCCCCTTGGCCTCACCACACGTGGAAGCTGAACTGGCTCCTGGCGTTAAGTGGACACGCGGCCACTCTCCTGGCGGGAGCTTCCCTGGCCATCTCTGCCCTGACGCGGAGCTGCTGGCTCCACGCGGGTCTGGATCCGCGGAGCTCCACGGAGACGTCTGCGCCTGGACCGCCCAGCTGCGCTGAAACCCAGCAGGCGCCATGACCACTGTGGCAGCCCGGACGCGCCCAACCAAAGGCAGGGGATCCTTGGCCCGGAGGTCCGAGCGCAAGGCCGCTGTCGCAGCTCTGCGCGACGCTCTTCATCCTGGTGGACACTACCACGTTCTCGCTGATCTTGAGCAGTCGCTGACGGCCACTTAGAAAACTACAGACTGCAGGTTAAAGACGCCTCTCCTTGGGGCGACGGGCCACGAACGTGCATCGAGGCTGCTGACGGCAACTCCCCACCCAGACCACCAGGGGCCCGCGTGGAACTGCCACGGTGTCATGTTGCCACACCCCGTCTGTCCCACACGAATGCCCCCGGCTGGTCTCGGACAAGCAGAACAGGAAGGACTGACCGTCCTGGGACAGCTCCTCTAAAACCAGGACCGGGCTCGGTTATTAGGACCAAACTAGAGACTTGGAGGCTTGTCAGCCAGCCCAGGTGTGGCTAACCTGACAGCCCAGGTGGCCCCAGGGGGGACACGTGGGACACACAGTCAACCTGTGCTGCTGCGCATCTCCCTGGGAGCCCCAAAGTGTAAACAATAACTGCGCCCTCAGGACGCCCCATGTGGGAACCGGGCGCACACACCCGTCTCTGCCACACACACGGCGACCTGCACCCTGGGGTGACACGGAGGACCTGCAGGCGTGTCAGGGACCCCGACGGTAAACCGTGTGGAGAGCTCTCAAGGTGAGGCTGCCTCCGTGACGCGGAGCCTCCGCAGGAGGGATGACGGACGCGTTTTTTACTCACACGCATGCCACAGCTGGTTTTTCTTACAACGGGGCCTTTCGACTAGAGGAGATGGCACAAGGTTTGTCCCTGCCTTTGGCTGAGGTGGCCCCGGGCACCATCTTGGCCCAGAGGCAGTGAGATGGCCTCGCTGGCCAGGGCTGTCACGGATGACAGCGTTTCCTGCGGCTTCCCCCTGCAGCCCAGGCAGCTGGGCAGGTGCAGCGGGCAGTGCCATGCCCGGCTCGGCGCCGGGTGGGGGAGAGTCGCTCTGGAAACTTAAGAGCGCCAGCTGGCTTCGGCATTCGCTCAGCTGGGGTCCCGGGGTCCTGGCTGGGGCCAGCGCACCGGCCGGCTGCTTGCTGGCGCTGGAATCCTGCCGAGAGACTCGACTCAGGGCAGCACGGGTCCCTGGATGGACGGGCTGGGTCCCAGCCAGTGCCGGTCAGATGGGTGAGGATGGCCATGGCGGGGCACAAACACGGGGAAACCTGCAGGGCTGGTGCCGCGCGGACACAAGGTGGCACTGGGTCTCTCAGACACATACCCCGTGGATGGCACGTGCCCCTGTGGTCCAAGTTGAAAGTGTTCGCACAGGGAGACATTTTGGGAGAGTGGGGCAGGGGGTCCGTCTCCCTCCCTGGAGACATCCCTGGGGCAGACATGAGCCCCAGACCTGCGGTGCACACGCAGGTAATGCCCAAGAGCTCCCACAAGAGGCTGCCCTGGCCGCTGCTGCGTGGGGAACGGCAGACTGTCTTTGCCTTGGACCCATGGGTCTTGTGTCTTCTCTGTGTGTGTGTGTGTGCGTGCGCGTGTGCACACATCTATGCATGTTTGTGTCGTGTGTCTGTATATATGTGTGCATATGCATGTAACATGCACATACACATGCAAGTATGTATCTGCGTACGTGTATGCATATGTAGGTATGTATATATGCATGGTGTCTATTGATATATGTGCATTATGTTTATATATGCATACATGTGTAGGATGTGTGCATGTATGCATACAAGTGTGCAGTATTTATGAATGTAAATATGTGTGGCATGTTATGAATATGTGTGTAGCATGCACAAGTATACATATCTATGTGGTGTGTATGTATTTGGCATGTATCTATGTACATGTATACATGGGCGTAGTGTGTATGTGTGTCGTATCTGTGTAGTGTACTTACACATATACATGTATACAGTGTTTCTATGTACATGTACACTGCATATCTATGTATGTAGCATGCATCTATGCATGCATGTGTATGTGTATAATGAATATCCATGCATGCATGTTTGTAGCATGTATCCATGTATGCGTATACATAATGTCCATTACACATGCAGTGTGCACCCATGCATGTATACTGTGTTTCTGTATGGTGTGTATCTGTGTATACATGTGTGTGTAGGCAGGACTGATGTGTATACACGTGTGTGGTGTACATCTGTATGTGTATATTATGTAGTATGTATGCATATGTGTAGTGTGTATCTAAGTATGAAAATGTGTGATGTGCATCTGGGTATGTATGTCATGTATCTGTGTGTATCCACGCACACATGTCACATGTATGTATATGTGTTGTGTGGTGTTAGTGAACATGTGCATGTGTATGAAATCTGTTGTGCACTTGTTCACACATGTAATGCACATTTGTGTGTACACATGTGTGCACAGTGTGTGTAACGTGTGTACAACGGGGCAGGCCAGCCTGCCTGTGTGGGTACGACCGCAGACTTGCAGTTTCTGGGACCCACCCAGTGGTCCCTTCTCCTGAGCTTCCGGGGTCCCCGTCCCTCTGGCTGCTCCGTCCCCTTCGCTCGTTCCCCCTCACCTCCCAGACCCTGGGAGGGGCTCCCGGGCCTCGAGGCTTCGGCCCGTTTCTGCACACTCGCTCCTCGTCCATCTGCACGACGACTCCTCATTTCCCGTCTCTGCCCGGCCCCTCCCCTGAATTCCGCGTGTGCTTTTCCACGGTGCCCCAACAATGCCACTCGAGTCCCCGTGGGCACCTGGCTCTTCCCAGCCCTCCCTGCAGCTCTGCCTGCACCCCACCCGCCTCTCCCTGGCCTCCCCACCCCTGTGAACGCAGCCCCGTCCCCTGGGATGCTCGGTCCTGCCCGTGCGGTTGTCCCGGAGCCCATCTCTCTGCCACACGCCCGCCCACCGCACCAGCAAGCTGGCTGGCCGTACGGGCAACCCACGTCTGCAGCCAGCCCCAGCGCCAGGTCACGGTGGTTCCCAGGGTGACTTCCCTGTCCCTTCTCAGCCCTCCCCTGTGGGTTCCAGGCATGACAGCCAAGGTGACAGAGGACAGAAGCCAAACTGTGTCCCTGTGCTGCTCGAAACCCTGCGTGGTTCCAGTGCACTGGAGGACCAGTGCTGCCCAAAGAGAGGTCTGTCCTCATCCCTTGGAATGTCCTGAGGAGAGCATCTGTTTTCCCTGGGGCCCTCGGACCACATCAGACCATCCGCGCTAACACTGAGCTTCACGGGGCGGGGGTGGCTCCAGGCCACGCAGGACCAGCATGGCCCCCGGCGGTGCTGGAGACTGAGGTCAGCCACACGCGTGGTCAGCCGTGACCAAGCCCAGTAAAACCCGCACACCGAGGAGAAACAGGTGCTGCCCACGGGACCCACTAGGAGGGCACAGCTGGAAGCTCGTGCTTGGCGACACCTGAACGCTTCCCTAGACACTCTCCCCTCGGCTGCCTGCCATCTGTGTCCTTTGCTGCAACAGACCCCGCCCAGTGCAGCGGCCTTGCCGAGCTCTGCGAGACCACCTGGCGAACTGCTGAACTCCCTGCCTCTCTGCACGGCTCCCCACATTCCCTGTGGCCCCAGCCTTTGACCGGGCGGGGGGACGAGTGACATGCGAGGGCCTGTCCCTCATGCCCCAGGCCCCACGACCAGATGCCATGCCGGGTCCTCGGCCCTGGCACAGCTTATTTCTGTCCGGGCAGCTTCTCTACTGCAGGGCCAGCACCTTCCGACGGGGCCAGGGCCGTACCTTTGTACCAGCTGACGACGGGCTTGGGCGTGCCCGTGACGCGACAGGCCAGCTTCACCGTCTCGCCCAGCTCGGCCGTGCAGTCGGCCAGCTCTTCCTCGAAATCCGGGGGCCCTGAGGACACACACGTGGCTCTGAGCACCCTGTGGGTGGGACGTCGGGCTCCTGGTGCCCTTGGGTACACCTCAGCAGGTCACCCCACCCCCTGCCAGTGGCCCCAAGTCCAAGGGTGTGGCTGCCACGGGGACTGTCCTTCTGTGCCATCCCTCACGTAGGGTCCCAGTGTGGGACCGGGAGTGAGGGCGGGATCTGCCGACGGCGGGGCAAGGGAAGGGCTGGGAGCCCCCACTCCACTTCAGCCCCCGGGCCCCTGGCCGCTCACTCACGCCACACGGGCAGGGCCAGGCGCTGCTGGATGCTGCAGATCTCCTTCACCCACGAGTTCTTGGTGATGACGGTGCGCGCCTGCAGCAGGTACTTGCGCACCGAGTCCTCTCGCTCGTGCCACACCTCGAAGGCACGGTCGTCCCCCTCCACCTGGTCGTTCAGGTCGATGCTACTCAGCTGTGGGCCGGGGAGGGACAAGAGCTGACCACCGCCTGGACAGACGTGGCACCGGCGGGGCCATGCTGCCGCGTCCATGCCAGAGCCAGAGGGACAGGGAGGCGTCCGCCCGCCCTGCACAGCCCCGGCAGCCCCCGGGGCCCGCACACCTTCATCATGTTCCGGAACACGTAGCTGAAGGTGTCGGTGCGGGAGTCTCGCCGGGGCTTGCAGATCACCAGGTGGTTGCGGAAGAGGAACACGTGGCGGTTGTGGCCCTTCCAGGGCATGCGGGCGCCCGGTGCGCCCTCCCACACGATGAAGTGGCCCTGGGGGTGCAGGGGGCTGCGGTCAGCCTGCGGTCGGCTGGGCCCCCCAGGGGCGCAGGCCCCACAGCCACCCAGGTGCCCCCGCCACCCGCCAACGTCACGCGTGCACACGACCTCCGGCCGACCTGGCGGATGGGCTCGCCCAGGGCCTCCAGGGTGCCCGGGTAGTTCTCCATGAGGGAAACGTGCAGCTTGTTCTCGGCGCGCTGCGGCAGGGCGGACACCACGGCGTAGGCCTGCTCCAGCAGTGCGCAGTTCTGCCTGTTGCGAGCCTTGTTGCGGATCAGCTCCTGGGGGCGCAGGGCACGAGGGTTAGGGCTCGGGAGAGCGGGCGGTGCCGGCAGAGGAGGCGGGCACAGGGCAGGCCGTGCCCACCTTCAGCAGGGCCTGGTACCGCTGCACGCGCTCCACCGGCTGCTCCAGGTAGTGCTGCAGCGGCGGCGGGGGCGGCTGTGAGGGGTCCCCGGCCGACAGCGCCTCCTCTGCGTACTTCTGTGGGAACAGAAGGGTGGGTTTTAGGGCAGGAACGCACAAGCCCCCTCTGGTTGTGTCCCCTGAGGGCTGGAGGCGCAGCCTTCTGACGGAAGCCGGGGGTGGCACGGGGCCCAGGGTGGGGGTGGGTGGTCCGACGGGCCCGAGCTCAGGCGGGGCACCTTGTAGAACTCCTGCACGGCCGTGCCGAGCACCACCGACTCAGCCTGCACCCGGCCCACCAAGAACTCCAGGTACTTCTCAAAGGCCGCCTGGTTCTTGATGAAGCACATGGCGACGTCGTCGTCCGTGTCGCACTGCTGCAGCTCCTGCAAGAAGCTGCGGGGAGGGGACGTGTCAGGACCCTGGCCCGCGATCCGCCACCCGGCCCTGGGCGCTCACCTTTGGGAGGAAGCTCCCGCCCAGGGGCTGGGCCCTGGGGGGCTGTGCGAGGGCATGTGCAGGCATGCGTGTGCAGACAGGTGGTCCAACCGCATGTGCACACGTGTGCCCATGCATGAGGGTATGCATGCGTGGGGTGTACACGGGTGTGCACCTCCATGTATATGCAGATATGTGCTGCATGCACGTGTGCATGTACAAGTGTGTACAGACATGAGGGTGTTCATGTACACGTGTTCAGGAATAGTATGGGTATGTGTGTGCATGTGTATAACATGTATATATATAGGGGCATGCATGTGTACAGTTGTACACATGGGTATGCACATATGCACTTGCATACCTGTGTGGGTGTGCAAGGGAGTTCAGGTATATGGAGACGTATGTATACATGCATACACGTGTGCATGGGTGTGCCCATGTATGTGGGTGCGTATGTGTGCGTGTGTGCGCCACGTACATGGGCGTGCATTGTATAAAGGCTGTGCATGTGCACATATGTCCGTGCACCTGTGTGCACAGGTGAGGGTGTGCATGCATGTGGGGCCATGCACATGCCCACCAGCAGTAGGTATGCTGCAGGCCTTCCCGTGTGCAAGCCAGGTGCATGTGTCTGTGCTCCTGGGGGGACGTCTCTGTCACTGGATAGAGATGAGCCAGCACAGGTTCTCTCCGCCCTCGCCTCCTGCCCGCCCCTGGGAGGCCTGGCCCTGTAGCCAGTACACACCTGTGCGTGTGTGTGTGCACGCAGCCCTGCCCACCTGCTGTGGAAGCGGCTGATGTCCTGCACGTTGCGGAAGATGACGGCCTTCTGGCTGGCCACGGCCGCGGGCACGTGGGGGCAGCGGTCCAGGTGCTGCATGTGGTGGCTCTGCAGGAACTGCAGCTTGCCCACGAACACCTGCTCCGAGCTCAGCAGCTCCCGGATGGCAGAGCTGGGCAGGAGGGGCACGGCTGTGAGCGGAGACCCAGCAGCCCCGGCCGCCGGCACTGCTCCCACCTCCGGCACGGGGACTGGGCACCGCGTGGCTGCAGCCATTTCCAGGGCACAGCTACGGGAGCCAGGGGCCTGCTCTGCTCTCTTCTGCCTCTGCCCATCCCCGATGAGGCTCACGTGGAACAGGGAGGACCCCACAAAAGAAAGAGCGTGGCCAAGGCCCAGCTCCCCCAGGATTGGGGCCTGCACCCCGAGCGAGGACCAGCAGCCAGTTTCTGGGAGCGATGATCCAGCCGGTAGGACACCAGGGCTGCCACCCCAGCCCTGCTGGCCACTCACCTCAGCCTTGTCTTGTACTCATCTTCAGACATGGCCTCCCCAGGGAACTCGGGGGCCTCGGCAGCCCCCCACTCAGGCGACAGCTGGGGAGAAACAGGAGTTCACTGCAGGTGGTCTGGGCCCCAGTCCTCCTCTGTGGGTATCGGGCTCTTGCCCCTCAAATGGGGACAACCCCTAGGGCCTCTCTAGGATCCCCAAGGCTCCCCTTCCTCCTCCTAAGCCATCCAGTACCTTGAGCCTCTTGTCCAGGTAGGCAGGCGACACCCAGCCCTGCCTTGACGGGCTGGATTTGGTGGGCTTGGTGCGCACGAGCCAGCGCAGCGGGTGGGCCGAGTCGAGGACCTCCACATACTGGCCTTCCCGCAGCGTGATGGCATCCTGCTCGGCCCCCAGGGGCAGGTAGTCGGCCGTGACCACGTAGATGTCAAAGATCTGATGGGGAGGGGAGGCACTGAGTCCAGGGAACAGGGAGGTGCCAGCCAGGCCTGCAGAGGCCCCGGACTGCAGGGAGGTTCCCCTGTGCCCTGGGATAATTTTTTTTTTTTGAGACAGGGTTTCACTCTGTTACCAGGCTGGAATGCAGTAGCATCAGCCTAGCTCACGGCAACCTCAAACTCCTCGGCTCAAGCGATCCTCCTGCCTCAGCCTCCCGAGTAGCTGGGACTACAGGTGCGCACCACCACGCCTGGCTAATTTTAAAAATTCTTTGTAGAGACGGACTCTTGCTATGTTGCTCAGGCTGGTCTCAAACGATCCTCCCACCTCAGCCTCCAGAAGTGCTGGGATCACAGGTGTGGGCCACTGTGCCCAGCCTCAGAATCATTCCGCACACGCACCTGTTCCCACCCCTGTGCAGACTAGGTAGCGGGGGTGACGTCCCCCAACCTACCCTCCCACGCTAAGGGATCACCGCAGCCCCCTGGCGTTGCCCGCCCGGGACTGTCTACACTGAGCCACATGGTCACCTTCTTCCCATCACGCTCCCACCCACCACTCCAAGACCCAACAGGTAGGTGCCTGGCACACTGGGGGCATGAGACGCATTCTCGAATGAAAGAATGAATGAACAAATGGCTCCACCAGAAGCCAAGTCTGTGCAAGAAGAGGATCCCGTTCCCCCAGTTCCTGCCTCCTGTGTGCCCTGGGTGGGGGTTCCACCTCCCACCCCTCTCCACTCCCCACCTCTTCAGGGGGTCAGACCCCCCCAGCCTGCTCCCCGGGGGTCCCAGCCTGCCCACCTCACCGCGGGAGTCACCGTCCTCTGACTCCGAGGAAGACTCCTGGACGCTGGAGGAAGGCCGCGACCGGCCGTGCCGCGGGGACGCGGATGGTGTCTTGGACTCCTCATCGCTGTCACACCCAGGCACCTGCAGCTTGGCTGGGTGGGCACAAGGATCATGACACCCCCAGAAGGGCAGCCCCTGGAGACCCCTTGCCCTGTCCCTAGCCTGGACCCAGAGCCTCAGGTGTTCTGTTGTGGCCACCCCCGTCCCGGGACCCCGGCACATGAGTGCTAGCCCCTCACCCTGCGTGATCTTGGCCGACACCATCTCGGTGATCTGGGAGGTGAGTTTCTGCAGGAACTCCTCTGTGCCCACCTCGGCGAGGGACAAGTGGCTGCGGACCTCCTCGGCCACCAGAGGCTCTCCTGGGGGTGTAGATG